GGCTCACGGATCTGCGGTGCATGTCTAAACATGCTGAGACACACCAGGAGAGGGTGGAGACTAGAACGGAAAAAGCTAGAAAAACCGGCATGCATGACAGACTGTGAGACAGAGAGGAGGCTCCACCAGAGGGAGGAGAACGAGTCTTGGGTGTGAGAAAGCAAAAGGGAATTCAGTGTTAACGCTGGCTCGATGCTGAAAGAAAAAGCAGCACTGGAAGTGAAACAGGAGAACAGACGGGTGAGAGACAGTGGAATGAAATGTGTGAATAATGTGTGTCACCTTTTTTGTCTAACTCTTTTTCCTGTTTCTGGTTTCTGTCTGAGCAGCTCCTGGTTCCCGTGGAGAGGCGTGTTGAACACAGATCACCTCTGGGGTTTTCGTTTACAAACATCAGGATGAATGAAGAGGAGGATGAGGTGCACAGAAAGTTGACTTTTCACTGATCAGACTGCTTTTATTGGCCACCTCACTCGTCTAGAGCTACAGCAGGAGCACGTCTACTGATGTAACGTTGCAGGAACTGAAAGATCCTGCAAGCACTGAGCAGAGCTCCTCTTGAAGCACCAGTAGGAGGATGGGATGGGACTTTGGGAGTGCTGAGTTGTCTCCTGGATGTCAGAACCCCAGGAACAAATGAGTACTAGTGGATTTGGTAGTAGTTCCAGCTTGCTCCAGGGCAGGCGTTTCTACTGCCGGGAATGGGCCTTGGAAAAGCTGCGTCGGTGTTTGGATGCCCGCTCCCTGACTGGCCGAGCGCCGGGCCTGCTGGTGACTGGAGGACCTGGTGTCGGTAAAACGGCCCTGTGCACTGAGGTGGTGTGGCCCACCTCAAGGGCAGGCCTGGCAGCCCGGCTGGCAGAGCGCTGCCTGGCCTACCACTTCTGTCAGAAGGAGGACCAGAGGAGTGTGGTGCTGTGGAGGTTCATCCTGGGTCTGGTGGACCAGCTGAGGGCTTCCCCTCTTCTCTCACCTGGATATCAGGAAATCCTCCAAAGAGAGTCGGTGTCTTCTGCTTTAGAGCTTCGCAGCTGTCAGAAGAACCCCGCGGACACCTTCAAGAGGTTTGTGTTAGGCATTTTAAAACCATCACCAATCCTTACATCCATGTGGTTGATGAGCGGCACGTAACACTTTGTCAAACCGGCATTGAGGGAATTTTCCCTTCTGGATTACTGCCAAATAAGAGGGAGAGTCAGCGTGTGTGTTCACGTTTAATCGTGTGACCGATTCAAAACTCAACACAGAATTCATTTATTTGTTCAGGATAGACTTGTTGACGAAAGTCAGCCTGTGAGAAAAAGGGTTCATCGGATTCAAACATCAGCAAAAACCTGCTCTGCAGCTTCGGTTTGCTGTAAACGACCCGTTTAGACCATCAGCTGTTTTTACTAAACACTTTGTAACCGACTGCTGATTCCATCTCTGTTCCCTGAATATTATTATTTTAACTCTGATTTGTAGATCTCCTACTGGATGAACTAACACATGAACCGCAAGGTGGATTTTAATGAAACTCAGAAACGAATCATCGCTGAGCCGACAGATATTAGAGAACACCAAAAAGGCCAGGATTTCACACATATTCAGGTGTAATTTGGTGTATAGTTGTTGAGAGTTATCATCAGAGATCTAATCGATCAGTGGTTCCCAAACATTTCTACTTTAGACTCACAAAACAGCAAATGTCAAGAGACGCGACACTAAAAAGCTAAATGATTCAGAGCATAAAGAAAACCACTTAAGCTCGTTTTCTCTTCTGTGTATGACAATTTAGGTGAGTTTGTGTTATGCTAGAAAATACAGCTTCAGCAATTAATTTTAAATTTTATTTTGAAATCTGGAAATCTTTTCCACACAGCCTGTGTGGTTTACCTTGATGACCCACAGTAGGGACCCGACCCTAACACTGGAAACCACTGTAACAGGTCAGGGTCAGCTGACCCTAACCCTAACCCTACTTCCTGTTTCAGAGACAAAAGCTGTGAACTCTGTGGATCAAAACAACAGTTTTATTCCACAACAGAAGTGTGTTTCCACTAAGCTGTCTCACAGCATGTAGGTGCAAAAACTTTTGACCGTCAGTGAAGCGACTGAAAGCCACAACAGCCGCAGGAAAAGAGACTGGCAGTAGCCATTCTTCCTCTTCTTATATTTATTTCACCTCTCATAATGTGGCCTATTCACAGCCCGCACAATGGCCCTCCAGTGTGAATGAATGCTACAGTGTAATTTACAACACAACATCCTTTCAGAGAGGGGAGGGAAAGAAGAACAAAGAGGTGAAAAATGCCTCCAGTACCCCGGCGACCATCTCAGCACCAGCCAGCGAGGTCACCATCCTCTCCAGGACTTTAAAACTCTCCCCGTGTGTTTGTTCTGTCATGAGTCGCGGCCCTTTTATGCTCCTGCTGTGTTTGCTCTTCTTTGGTGTGAAGCACCGAACTGGATTCCACCCTCCCTAAAGACTGGCTCACAGCCAGCCGCTGGTCTGTGTTTGCAGCGGGGAGAAAGTGGCCGTAGGCGAAACTCCACCATTTGAGGACAGCCGTCGACAAACTGATGAAACACGGGCTCACATTTGCAGGGAGGAAGCCAACAGAAAGTGGGGTGTTAAGTCTCAGAGCAGCTGGTTGCTGCTGCTGCTGCAGTCAGCGGGTCATTAACGCTGCACGGACTGTTTATGTGTCGTGCTGCTCCGGCTGAAGTTCAAAGAGTTCGCCTCTTTGTGAGAATTTAAATAACAGCCACAGAAGCTCCAGGAAGTCTCCATGTTTTATGGTTTCTCTTTGTCCAGGAGCAAACTCTGGTTCAGCCTCGTGTTCACAGCCTTTACAAACACGCTGAAAAGCTCAAAAACATTTCACTGAAACAATGTGAGCTAACACGTTTCTCAGGCAGCGTGCTCCGGTCTCTTGGTTCACAGGAAATAAGGGCTTTAAAGGCTTTCATGCAAATACGTTTGTCTTAAATGTTCCTGAAAATGAAGTCGAGCTTGTCTCACAAACAATAGAAGTCTTCACACTTATTCTAGCCACAGTTACGCTAGGGTATAGGACCACTGTTCTCTCAGTGGTTGTGCTGAGAGCTGGTGTCCATGTCTAGTAGGTAGTTGGGCGAATGGCGGGGGACAGACTAGACACGTCTCCAGTCTCACAGAGACACACAGAGACACACAGAGACACACAGAGACAAAACCAGTCACATAAGCCATGCTGCCACTGTTGGGAGTTATGGGAATTTCTGGCTGGGGGTGTTGACAGGGAAAATACAAAGGCTCATTCCTATCAGTCATTGTGTCTCTGTACAACATTGGCCCTTTCAGGACTTTGCTAAGACGTCAGCTTATCACTACTGTCTTTGGTGTGTTCTGTGTCTAGTTTCTAATTCCATTTTTGGTTCTTTTTAAAACACAGGATAGGTTTTTCTTTACCTTGCTGACGTACGTTTCGTTTGCCGACTGCAAAACATCCTCAGAGCTGATGCTGATGGTGGCGTCACTTCCTACTCCGTTTAGGAGATGTGGATGTGGGACCATGAACAGAGACGATGGAGTTTACTCACTGGATCGCGCATGGGACTGCATCATCGGAGAGGGGAGATCGGGCAGCAGAGGGCGACAACGTCCTCTGCTGCCCGCGGATAAACGGAGTAGGAGGTGACGCCACCATCAGCGTCAGCTCTGAGGATGTTTTGCAGTCGGCAAACGAAACGTGCGTCAGCAAGGTAAAGGAAAACCTTTTCTGTGTTTTTAAAAGAACCAAAAATGGAATTATCACTACTGCTTTGGCAGTGAGTGATGTGATTGGTCAGCACCAAAAGGAGCCCACGGACATGAATATAAACATTAAGATTTTTTTTCTAGAACGCCGTCATTTAATTCGACTTAAAGATCACTGATCACTCAGCACTGACCCCGGACACTCACGACCTTCATATAAGGCAGTGCATAACCAGCCTGGGTGTTAAATTGGATGCTAGCCTTACGATGACACAGCAAATAAACATGGGGATAAGGTCATGCTTCTGTCAACTGCGCCGACTGTCACATCTAAGATCAATCTTGAAAAAAACACACCTGGAGTCTGTGCTACATGCATTTATTATATCCAGACTAGACTATCCAAATTCTCTCCTGATTGGTGCCCCGGCATCGCCTGCTGGGTGTCCAGAATGCTGCAGCTAGATTCCTGGTGAAGGCTGCTAGACGCACCCACACCACCCCTACCTTAGCCGCTCTTCATTGGCTGCCTGTTGCATTCAGAGTTAAGTTTCAGATCTTGCATCTTGTATTCAAAGCCTTAAATGGTCTGGCACCAATCTACCTGCATGATCTTCTGGTGCCCTACGTACCAACCCGACCGTTGAGGTCAGCCGACCATCTGCTACTAGATGTATGACAGGTGTCTTCTGTGGCAGTTTTGAAAGCAAACTAAAAACCCACTTCTATGCCCTAGCTTATGATGGTTCTTATGTTTGATTGTTTTTAATCTGTGAACTCCTTACGTTTCACTATGACCCTGATTGTGTTGTAAAGCGCCTTGAGGGGTTCCAGGACTCTAGAAGGCGCTATATCAAATACAGGCCATTTACCATTTATTACCATATGACTGGTTTTGCTATTCCCCCACTGTGTTTATTGTTTTTATGTTTTTACTGTTTTCATTGGTCCCTAGTTTAAAATTTTTTCATGACCCTTTTGGCAGCTGACACGCTGTGGGAACATGCGACTTATTAAATAAAGTAGTATGGTATGGTAATCTGACACCTGCTGGATGAGGAGGATTCTACCTGAGAAGATCAGGTTTTCATTCCTTTTATTATCTTTGAAAATATTAAAGCCTAAACTGAAACATCATAGCCTGGCCACGCTCCATTGACGGCTTTCGGTTGTGGGGCGGGTTCTACCGTAGTCTTTCAAATGATCTCCGCATTCCACTGGACAATGAATGTGACATACTCTTGTTTCACTCTGTTGCATCATCCCACCCACCAGGCATACAGAGTGCCCTGATTGGCCCACAAAGCGGATAAAGCTCTGTGATTTGTTCACTAAGCAGATAGAGCACTATGATTGGCCCACCATTATGGACCAATCACAGCTCTTTATGTGTTTGAAACCCCTCTAGAGAGCTGTGATTGGCTAGCCAGAGTCCTGGTAGGAGCTGCTGAGGTTCCAATGGACCATGCCTAGACCATTCTTTGCAAAGCAAGAATTTGGTCTAGTTCACTAGGCTAGAAACATCATGCTTCTGACCTCTAGTTCCAGCTGGAGAGCCGCTACCTGCTGGCCTGAGATCTGTTGTTTTTTTTTTACAGCCTCAGAGGACAGATGAAGTGACATACACCCTGTCTTCATGAGGATGTTTGGCGCTGACTCAGCCTTCTAATTACTGCAGGTGTCACAGTGACGCGTGCCTCTCACTCGGTTCCACCACAGCACAGCTTCAAAGGTCACGCACAGATGTGTGTCCAGCGCCGCACAACCTGAATCACATAAGCAACTATAAAAGGTTAATTGCACTTCCTGTGTGTGTGTGTGCCTGGTGTGGGAGTGCCGCTGTATTCAGATGACTAAAGCTCACAGTGGTGTGATAAGCATGTCGGGACTCAGATGTCACAGGATGGGGTTTCAAAATCTACTTTTAATTGCAGGAAATGGCCAATAATAAAAGTTAAGGCTGTCATTAAGGAGCTTTGCTCTGTGTGAGTGGTGGTCCTTCAGGGTTTTGGTTCATTAAGTGTAATTGAAGTTTAATTAACTGCAAGCCTTTGATCATTTAGAGCAGCAGGAGGTTTTGGTGTTATTTGTTCCCCTCAGCTTTTCTTTGTGTTGGTCAATAACATCTGATCATCTGACCATGAGCAGGAGGTGAAGCGTTCACCTCACGCACGTGTTGCTTTTTGAAACATTTCTGTGCAAATGTTAAAAGGGTCTTGGATGCAAAGTGCATAAAAAATAGACTTGGTACTACACTTGTGGGACACATCCAGGACGAGCCCCGCTCACGGCCGTCGGAAACACACCCTTTGACTTTGATAGCAGCGACTTGCTGATTGCTACACCTGAGGGATGTTAGGCTTACACATCCGGTAGAAAGCTGGGGTGAAACGGCTTCAATCACCAATATTTCAGGATGGTTTACTAAATTGAACATAACACCTCATTTTGATTCCTTATTTCTGTTTAATTGTGGCATTATCATAAAAATAAATGCATGAGAAAAAAGCTATTTTAAAGATGTCTAGTGAGAAAAATATTTAATTAAAAAGCACCACATTTTTTCAATAAGAGTCTGTTGCAGGCATTAGTGCCTCTGCTTCAGTCCTGTCAGCAGGTTGCTACATCTGTTGTTCAGAAGAAACTTGGCTGCATGGTTGATTTTGGCCAGAGGCATTTTGGTCCTTGGCAGTCCGAAAATCAATTTGGTATCTTAACATTTGCTGAAATATGATGTCATGAGTACCTTTCACAAGTATTAGGACCTTTTTTTTGTTAGAATATGTTGTTGGTCATTTAGTTTTAGTTGGTTGTATTTTCCAGCTGTTTTCATGTTTTTATGGTGTAATAGCTCAGTTAGAACATTTCACGGGTTAGTTGTTATTGTTCTAGTGTTAAAGGGACTTCTCGGACTTTTGAATTTTTATGCTCGCGATTGCCCCCTCAGGCCAGAAGTGTAACGGCAGCTTCAATAGTAGGCTCGTGCACGAGGCGCACATGCTGTACGTGCACACTCCTTAACGAAAATAACAGCTGAGACAGTCCCGTGTGTGTGTGTGTGTGTGTGTGTGTGTGTGTGTGTGTGTGTGTGTGTGTGTGTGTGTGTGGCCTGGAGGACAGGAGAACGCGCAGCTAATTACTTAAATAATTTGGTTCTGTACCTTTCTCTTCAGCACAGCCGACAAAGGTTTATGATGGGTCAGTCCTCCTGCATGCTCAGATCATTCCTTTCCCTTGCTTGAAAATGTCACATTGAGGGTGTGGATGGCGGCGGACCATGTGTGGTGGAGCAGATCAGGAGACAGGAATGCAGGCACGGATGAAATAAAAGTAGTTTTAATGGCAGAGCGGGAACGGCAGAACAAAAACAACGCTGACAACAAACAATGATCCGACAAAGACATACAAGAAGGGAGGCATAAATACACAGAGGAAAATCAGGAACACATGGGCGGATTAACACGGGGCAGGTGAGAACAATAAAGACTAATCAGGCAGGAGAGAGACACAGTCAGGGAGGCAGGAGCAGATTGTGACGGAAAAATTGTTCCAAAATGAACGTTGAACCACATCTTTTTTTATCCGTGAATTCAATGCCGTTCGGCGAGTCTCAAATAAAAATTTGGGCATCTTACTGTAAAAAAATATACAATTAATGTAAAAAAGAAACTCTGAATAAACTATGTTCACACCCAGGATCGAACCCAGGACTTCTGCACGAGAGTCAGACATTTTACAAGGTGAGCTATGCACCAATAATATTAGATGTATGTATCTGTAACTTTTTTATCCTTTGACAGCTGAAACAAGGTCAATCCAAAGAATGGTTCGGAGCGAAAATGGCTATTTTGTTGCTAATTTGCAGGAAATATCTAGAAGAAAGTTCTACAGAAAGTAGCTAAGGGTCCTCAGAAATGTAGCTAGGTTCATCACTAGGCGTTAGGAACAGCGACAAAGTCACTGAGTTGACACTGCCTCTCTCTCTGCTGCTAAATCTACTGATAGCAAATGCTACGGGCGACGCCTGAGTGTGAACGCGCATGAAGCAGCCTGCTCGACCCGAGCAGCTCTCTTTTTCTGTGATTTTACAGAAAAACAGGCAATCACAGTAAAAATGCCAGGGCTCATTCTACAGGACCAGAGCATTGCAGGAGAATGTATGAAGAAGACATTTATTATTTCTATACATGTTTTGGCTGTCAAACTTCCATAATGTCCCTTTAAAAAGCTCATTTGTTCATAATTGTTGATGGAATAAAATAAATCATTGAAGGTTCTGTTAAAATCAGCTGTAATGTTAATCTCTCTGATGACTACAGGTGAGTGGACCTGGTCAGCCTTAAAAACAGACATTAACACTAATAACAGCACACACACACACACACACCCTGTATTTATAGCAGGATGAGTAGCCTGAGCTTAGCCTCTGTGTGACCTGTTCATACCAGACAGGTGTTGGAGGTTCAGCATTGACTGACACACACACTCAGACACAGAATTTACACCAAATCTGGGACAAATAATCATTTTGTGATTTCTACCACAACATTCATGTCCATCCATTGAAGTGGTTGTTATAAAATCTCTGTATTTATAAAGGGTGATGCATTGGGTCAGCTGAGACACAAATCCAGTGATTTATGAGTTCATTATAGTTGGGCTCACTGCTTGATAACATTCAGTAATCTCATAACCATGTCCCGCTCTGTCCTTGGCCTCAGTGGGAGAGGACACAAGTCTGGTTTTATTAGGACACGATGAACACAAAAACATCATTTTACACTAACCATGGCTAATAAAAATAAGGGATTTCTTCACACATTGTTTATTTGATTTACTTATTTTGTTCCTCTGCACGTCTCACTCATGAAGAACCCTCTCAGGTGACTTTAAAGTATTTTCCCTAGCGATGGGGGCAGTAGATACCTAAATCGTTGTAAGCAAGTGATATTTTTGTGTTTGAGTAAGACCTTACCAACGGATGGCCATTAGGGTTAAAAATACCTGGGAGCACAACCTCCAGCAAAATGACAAGTTCATCAGACTCCATTCTAGGGGTGGGCAATATAAATGATATAAGGTAGAAACGATATAAAATTGGGTAATGATAGAGTTTTTGGCTATATCGCAATACCACCATGTCGCAATAGCACATGACTTCATTAAAGGTGCTTTTATACGACACACCATGCCAGCATATTGGCGTAATATTACCGCAATGGCATGCCTATAAACGTGCCATGCCGGCATGGCGTTGCGCGAATATTGCGGCATTCGTTCCATCTCGTTTGATAGTAATACATCCGCATCAGCACCTCACCTCTGACGGCTAAACGGGTGTCAGCCCCGCTAATCCCTTTGGAGTGACTGTGACTCTCCACAAGGATGGGTCAAATGCGGGGATGTAATTTCACCAGTGTGTGATGATTACTAATGAGACTTTACTAATAGACTTAAGCCGGGCGGACACTGTGCGACTTTTTCACTCGCAGCGTTCAGCTTCAGCTCAAACTGTACGACTTCCTCGCAGGGCAGATCTCACGAGTCATGTGCTCACACTGCACGACCCAGTTCTCGGATGCGACCTGACTGCTCACACTGTACGTCTGGTAGCAACACGTCGGACCTAAAAATATGCTAAAAATAGCAGTTTTTACACAACACGTCAGACTTTTTTGTCTTGCCTGTTGTCCTTCGGGAGTGCTGCAGGAGGACACACAGGCATTTATGGGGGTTGGATGAGCAAAACGAAATAAAGAAAGTAAATCTGTGTTTTGTGATCAGTTTAATTTGACATGAGCACGACAAACACGCTTTCTTGACAATTTTTGTGAGTAAAAAAACGTGTAGAAACAAAAACGAACAAGGTGTGTTATTAGGGAAATAGCGAGCAAGCGGCATTGATGCAGGATTGCGCATGCGCCGAGAGCGGTTCTGATACATTTTGGGTCGCAGCTGCTCGCAGCGCCGCTTCAACAGTGCGATACCCTCACAAGGGACGAGCGAAATATCAAACACGCCAGAAGTCCGTGCGACCTCACGACTGCTGATCGGCAGCTGGTCACGTGGTGTTAATCGCCTCTCGTAACCCCCTGTACACTACACGACCGCTCGGCGCAAAACTCGCCCCAATGTCGTGGATTCTCGCACGACTGGAAAATCGGCTCAAAAAAGTGAAAAAGTCGCACAGTGTACGCCCGGCTTTACACCCACTCCAGTGTATTTTAGACCAGATTTTTATGGTTATATGTTACCAACTGGGCATCATTTAATTCATTTTCAACAACATTTCTATAGATATTTCCAGAGGTTAATGGTAAAAACTACACATTGTCTCTTTAACTCTGGCATCATTCTGCTCATCTTGGTTGTCGTTACACTTTTTATGCAGTTCTTAAGTTGAAAACGTCTTGCCAGATGAGAGTAAATCCCAGATTGACTGTTGTTGGATTTTACGGCAGTAGCCAGTCACATTGTCTTCACAAATCTCCACACAAGAATGCTTTTGGTTTCACAAGCCAGTAAATTTGTCATGTGGAAGAACCATAAGGGATTGAAAGTGTGCTTGTGGGTGTGTATCAAGCACATGCATAAGTAAGAGCATGCTCGGTGTAGAGCAGAAAACGTCAAATGTTCCTCTAACCTGAGTCACCTGTGTGTGTGGGAGTTGTCACTCAAGGGCATTTCACAGCTCCTTTTGATTTATCCAAGTTTTGAAATGTTTTATTGTTTAATGAAGCACTCCCTGGTTTAATGGCAGCACAGAACTCAAACCGCCTGGAGCCATGGCAGGATAGCTGCTCTTTTATTGATCAAAACCGTTTCATTTAGTCTCACTGTTAGAGTTCTGATCCGCTCTGTCAGTCTGTTTAAGAGAAAATCCTCTCATTCCTGTCATTCTTTTCAACTTCATCATCCGCCCACATTTCTCGCTGTTTTTACACAGCTGTCTAAATCTTCTCCCTTTGGTGTCTGCCTCTTCCTCGTGCATCTGTAGAGCTGTGCTGGAACCCCTGTTGGACCTCCCTCCTCCTGCACAGACCCTGATGGTGGTCATTGACGCTCTGGATGTTCATTACAGACCAGATGAAAGAGTTGGGAAGAGCGGCTCCATTGCAGAACTCTTGGCTACCAATCAGCATCTGCTGCCCAACTGGCTGCTGCTGGTGTGTTCAGTGCGCCGCCAGAACAAAGATGTGTGCAAGATGTTCTCAGGTCTGTAACACGTGGCGAAGCACAGCTGCAGGGTGAAAAGTGATCATAAATTAGACTAAATTTGCCAAATATTAGCTTGAATGTATGGCTACTTATTTGTATTTAATTTGAAAAATAAGCGTAGCAGTCTTTGAAAACTACCAGTATTTAAAAAATGTAGTGTTTTAGCTATTTTAGCTAAAAAAAAGTTTCTTTGTTTTAGGTTTCCATAGGCTCTGCTTGGATGATCTGAGGAAGCCATTAGCGGTCCGTGATGTGCAGCAGTACATCCTTTGCCGGCTGGATGAAGAAGCAGCACTGCGTCGTCAGCTCACCCCCGACACGGCCGACATGCTAAATCTGCTACACATCAAAAGTGGTGGCTGCTTCCTCTTTCTGGAGCGTGTTCTGGATGGCGTGGCAGCCGGGTTGGTGGGTCTACGGGAGATCCGGGACATCCCTGGAACCCTCAATGGACTCTACTTGTGGCTCTGCCAGAGATTGTTTCCGAGGGGGCTCTTTGTCAACATCAAGCCTCTCCTTCATGTCCTCTTGGCTGCTCCATGGCCACTTACACCTCAGCAGCTGTTCACAGCAGTCTGGACTCAGGACACATCACTCAACATCCAGGACTTCCAGAGCAAACTCCATGCTCTGTCTCCTCTTCTGGTCGATGGCCCTAATGGAACCAAACTCCTTTTTCATGCCAACTTTACTGAGTGGCTGACTGATGTTAAGTACTGTACACAAAAGTACCTGTGTAGCAGGACTGAGGGTCATAGTATGCTCGCCATGTCTCTGACCCTGCAGGGACCCCAGCTGGACATCGATGGGATTTGTCAGCTAGCCACCCACTTGGTTAGCTCAGGTCACCACAAGGAAAACTCTTCATTATTAGCGCTGTGGATGTTGTCAACAAGTGTGCCAGCTCTTCCTCCCAGCTGCAGCCAAGCCCTCACCTCATGCTTAGCTCAGCTTCCTGCTTTGGTCAGTCAGGAAGTCCCTCAGCTATTATTGAAGAGCGGACTGGTCTCACCAAGCTGTTTTCCAGATGCAGATCTAAATGAAGACATGCAGTGGAATACTGATGGAGACCAACCACGAAAATCATTGGAGATGGAGGTGTCTGTAAAGAAGCTGCTAGACAGTGGCCTGTCTGTGAACCAGCCTACGTCTACAGGACAGACGTTACTCGCTAGAGCAGCTCATGATGGTTCTGCAGAATTGGTAAAATTTCTCCTGACACAAAATTCTGATCCACTAGTTAGTGATCCTCAGGGTCAAACGCCACTGACTTTGGCTTCCAGACAGGGTCACGTCAATGTGTTGTCTGTCCTTCTTGCATGGACTAAATGCCAGAGCACTGAGACAGCAGTGCAGATGATGGAGCACATTGACAATGAAGGCTGGACAGCACTGCGTTCTGCTGCCTGGGGTGGACACTGCGAGGCAGTCCGCCTACTTCTGGATGCAGGTGCAGAAGTAAATGGGTGTGACAGTGATTGTCGGACTGCTCTCAGAGCTGCTGCGTGGGGGGGTCATGAGGACATTGTCCTTACCCTCATCGATTATGGTGCACAAATCAATAAAGCGGATAGTAAGGGTCGGACACCACTTATTGCTGCTGCGTACATGGGACACCACGAGACTGTGGAGATATTGCTCGACCACAATGCAGACGTTAATCTAGCTGATGAGGATGGACGCACCGCTCTGTCGGTTGTTGCCCTTTGTGTCCCAACGGCAGCAGGAATCCAGAGTTTTGGTGAGGTGGCAGGGCTTTTACTTGAGCGTGGAGCAGATCCAGGACACAGGGACCATGATGGCATGACCCCTCTGCTTCTTGCAGCCTACGAGGGCCATGATGATGTAGTCGAGCTTCTGTTGGAGGCTGGTGCTGATGTAGATGAAACCGCTCATCCTGACGGGAGTTTCTCATCTGCAGCTGCTGTTACTCCGTTGCTGGCAGCTGCAGCAATGGGCCACATGAAAACAGTGTCCCGATTGCTTTTCTGGGGTGCAGCCGTGGATGCCATTGATTGTGAAGGCAGGACAGCACTCTGTTTGGCAGCAGCAAGAGGCAGCTTAGAGGTCGTCCGGGCCTTGCTGGACCGAGGCCTGGATGAAAACCATAAGGATGACCTTGGCTGGACTCCACTGCATGCTGCTGCCTGTGAAGGCCATCGAACCATATGTGCAGCTCTGACAGATCAAGGCAGTATGGCACGTGTTGGAGAGATGGACATTGAAGGACGCACACCTCTTATACTGGCTGCTCAAGAGGGTCATTGGAGCACTGTCAAACTACTGCTAGACAGACGCTCTCCTATTGACCACCGGGCATACGATGGACATTCTGCATTAAGTGCAGCTTTTCTGGAGGGCCATGCTGATGTTGCAGAGCTGCTCATGAAACGAGGAGCTGATACTGATGTTCGAGATGCTGAGGGACGACCTCTGCTTTACCTCCTGGTGCTCAACAATTGCCTTGACATGGCCGCTCTTCTCATAGAAAAAGGAGGCGTGCCACTTGAGTCCCGAGACTCTGAGGGCCGCACTGCACTTCATGTAGCTTCCTGGCAGGGAAATGTGGAGATTGTAGGTTTACTTTTAAACCACGGGGCAAACCCTAATACACAAGATGCAGAAGGGAGACCACCAATACATTCTGTGGCTTGGACCGGTCATGTGACAATGGGGCACCGTCTGCTGGAAGCCAGTGCTGTAAATATAGACCTTGCTTGCCATCAGGGGGCAACCGCTCTAAGCATCGCTTCCCAAGAGGGACATTCAAACATTGTGAGAATGCTTTTGGAAAAAGGTGCAAATCCCAATCACATTGATAAATATGGCCGCAGTCCAGTCAAAGTGGCAGGGAAGCATGGCCTTTTTAACATCGTCAGGCTCTTGGAGAGCTTTGGAGCTAAGCCATACCTAGGCCAGTTGCCTAATTCTAATACAGTTTCTCCTATGAAACCCAACAAGATCCCCTCCTTGGGTTTATCAGAGAATAATGCAGTTGAAGTGACAGGCACTACCTCCTCTTCCTCATTATCCTCTCCTGGCTCCACTGGAGAGCGGTTCCACTCATTGCAAAGCTCCCAGACCTCATCCACTTGCCACTCCCTTGCTACAGTACAAACAGTACCTGCTGACAGTCTCAGCTTTATCCAGCAGATCCAACAGCATTCATTGCCCCGCAGCCGTAGCCGTCACTCCATCCTCCCCCCACCCGGGAGCACGGGAATGGGCAGTCTACGTGGAAATAATCAGATGCAGCCCACTGGTATCCCTCACCCTGCTGTTTGCACAGTCACAGCCTCGGTGCACAGCTGTGATCTCTCTCAGAAAGGATTGTCACCTGAACTTGAATATCATGACAAAATAATGAAGCAAAACTCAAACCTGATAAAAAATAGAACGACCAATTACATCGGTGGTAAATGGCACTCATTCATGGCTTCTCTTGGAATAATGCCAGGCCAAGAAATCCCTCTAGGTGCTAAGAACAGAGAGAACCCTCCTTCGGACTATCCACACAGGCTTCAAAGCCCGTCTCAACCTGAAGCTTGGGATTCTCTAACCCATAACGTTTTGTCACCAGTTTGTTACAATTTTGTTCCCACACCACCTTGTAGTGCCTTGGCAGATGATGGTATGTTCACAATAACAACCACGGACCCACAGCTTCATCTCAAACAAGCCATCAAACTGCAGTTTGAAGGCCCCACCAGCGCAGCCTTATACAAGAGAGAGACACCCCTGTGACAATCAGTCAGATGAGACCAACAAGTCGGTCTTTTGTCACAAAATCTTTTATTTCTTTGCTTGGACTTGAGAGTCGGTGCTGAAGTATTTAACTTGATATGCTGTAAATGAAAAATAAGTACATTTCAGGTGAAGATGGACCCTTTTTTAATATTTTGGTTCAAGGAGAAGGCAGGTAAATGTTTTCCTTTTAGAAAAAAGATATAATTTCCTTAAAGAGGCCAGATGACCAAACTGGTAAAGAAAAAAGTTTACGTATTTTTCTATAATTTTCCTGTTATGTGCTGATGGGGCCGATTTGCGTAACACACAGCTGTTTTCTTTTTCTACTTCATTCATTTTTGCCATCTTATATGTATATTAGAGCAGAAGCACATCGGAGAAGGGCATAATGTTTTATTCTAACTTAATTTATTTGAGTTTAACATTAGAACCATTTAATTCTTTCGACAACATTTGCTTTTCTCTTTCCCTTTTTATTTGTGATGCGTTATAACGCTTACAGTTCAAACAGTCTGTTACCAAAATCTGAGTCTGTCCTAAACCACGTATGTTTGTCTATCCTGCCTGAGATCAGATGGGAAAAAAAAAATCTATTTTCTAAATTAAAACTGAAGGTTCATGATAAAATGTTAATTTGTTGAACATATTTTCTCAGTTGACCAAGCTTTTCTCTTGATAATTTTTCATTGTTGTTAATCACATTCTCTAATTAAAAAGACGATCAGTCATTTTTTCCTCACTGTGTGGTTATTTTTGAGATGTTTGCATGGGTATATTATGGCAGCACTTAAAAAACAAAATGTCACAGGCAGCTTCTGAAGTTGTTGCATCATGCAGAGATGAAAGTCAGCCAGCAGCCAGTTGGTTTCCATCTGGGATATTAAAACAAAACAACAGTTCTGAAACTTGAGAGGTGTTCTGCAGGTAAAACTACGGGTACTTTTCATCAATGTTTGATGAGGAATATTCATGAGGTTCTGAAACCACATTTTTGAGCTGTTTCCTAAAGTAGGTTATTTTAAAACGTAAAGGTTTGTCTCTATTGATGGAATAAGACAAATATAATATTTATTTTAATTTTTATTTAACCAGATGAGTCGACGATGTGGCCAAGAGGCAGCAGCGACAGAAACATAGTAAGCTTTACACCAAAGAAAAACAAATAAAACATACAAGATAAAAATAAGATAAAACAGTTACACATAAAGACAAAGGACTGTTCTCATATATAACATGTACAAGCAATCAAAACACTTAAAACACATGTTAAGTACTCAGAAGCACATTGGTCAGAAACTATTGATTGCAATGAATTATTGAAGGAATGTAGGCAGTGAGCTTTAGTGAATTTTGCAGCTCATTCCAGTCGTTGGAAGCAGCAAACTGGAATGAGGAGCATAACCAAAATAACCATGGAGATTAAGTTACTGGAACATAAATTGCACTGGTTGTTGGAAGTGATGAGTAATGAGCGAAAATATGACGGTGTTCTACCGATGATTGTTTTGTATATGAACTGATACCAATGTAACAACCTGTGGTAATAGAGTGATGGCCAGTTAACGAGTGAGTACAGATCACAATGATGAGTAGTGAAAGGGGCACCAGTGACGAAACGGATTGCTGAATGATAAATGACATCGAGTTTATGAAGAAGTTTCTTGGAAACAGTCCTATAAATTTAGACCAAGGTTTGCTTTGCAGAATGAGTAATGGATGACCTGTTGCGGTATAGAAACCCAATTCTTGACTTGGGCAAGACAAGTGAAAGTGTGCTGTCAAGCCAGATTCCCAAATATGTACAGGAACTGACAAGTTGTAGTTCTGTACCATCCAGGGAAACAATCCTAAGGTGACTAGTTGATTGCGCTAAGTTACGGCTGAAGATCATGAACTTTGTTTTACTTGTGTTAAATGAAGATGAAGGCTGGACAAGACATGTTGAAGACAATTAAAGTTGTGCTGCAAGAAGGACAAAGCTGCATTCAGGGAAGTACTGCATGCATATAAAATGGTGTTGTCCGCATATAAATGTATATGAGAACTGTCAACAGCATGAACAATGTTATTAATGTAGATTTTGAATAACGTTGGGCCCAGTATCAACCCTTGAGGAACGCCCACAATATAAATATAAACTGGACTAAAATCCAGAAATTGTTTATATTTTTTCATTCATAATGCCAGCTCTCAGAATTTTCACATGGTCTCCAGTAGAGTTATTGAAAAGTTTTTTGAAGTGATTAAACATTTAACCACATAACTTTCTTGGTGATTTAAGATGACGCCCTTCTGAAAAGAAACATTTATTCAGTTTTGACTCGTTGTTATCTAGCTTCACGTGAGGAACATTTGCAAGAGCGCCTCTAAGTTCACGCAGCAACTTTCATCTAGGTCCCATCTCGCTGTGAGTTGGCAGAAAAATGAATGTAAGAACAAATTCAGGCATGACTCAGACACTTTTTGGATAAACTGCAACAAGAACATTTGCACAAATGTTGAAATTAGTTTTCACTTACAGTGTCTTGTGATTTAATGTAATATGATACAAACTTCAACTTGACACATTTTCCTGCAGTTTTATTTCTCCAGCTGGTCACCAATGGTCACAACCCAGTGAGAGACTGGTTTCAGTCTTAGCTTGAGGAACTACAGTCTTTTTACACCCCTTAGTGTGTGTTTGGGTATTTTGTCCTTGAAGTGAACATGGGTCTTGTTTGGGTTTCACCAGGAAGTAGGATGTTTGTGGAAAAACCCTCCACGTTTCTCAGACATTCCTGCCTCATGTGGAAAGACAACATTTTTGCACCTGTTCATTTTGTTTCCCTACTTAAAGTCAGCGTTGATGTCAGAACTAAAGAATCTCTTTAAATCAGGAGTGAAAAAAGGAAGTTTGGTTAAGGTATTGGTTTAGAATTGTGTTTTTCATAATAAAATCGCCAAATAATCCATTATGCAACTATAAAACACGCAGACGTTTTATCACAAGACATCTTAAGCCGCTTCTGGAGTTAAACTGCCAACTTGCATATTGAGATCCACAAATTTGGTGCAAAAATGAAATGCTGACATTTCTGGTCTTCTGAGTTGATTGTTCAAGGGTTTCGTTGCATTGTGTTTCCAGGCTGAGTTAGATAATAGAGACATTTTGCATCAGTCAAGTCATGACAATGTCTTTTAAACACTTTATGCACCCCTTGGGGTCTGTCATGATCCATTCACCCATCGATTTCTGTTCATTTAGGGTTATTCCTCGGCTTCCTACTCTCACCATCTTGCACACCTGCCCTACACCAGTTTATCACCTGTTCTTTCTCAGAAATCACAGAAAGTTTGAGTGCCACGGTATATTCAGTTGTCACATCCTCCTGTGTTGATTCTTAACAATTTTTGGTTTGTTGTTTGAATTAAAACATTTAGTTTACCTGCATCACTTTGAGTCCAACCTTTCCGATTCCTGTCTGGGGCCCATCCCAATTCTCACACTTACGCCCTTGTGCAATCCTGTCCAGGTGTGCGAGTGCAAATGGGGTCCTGATTCTTAAGCATGGAAGTTGACCACACCCCTTTTGCACCCTTGAGTCCCTCTTCGTCCACGCCCGCATTGACTTCCAAACAAACAAATTGTTTGAAAGTTAATAAAGTTTAAAGTAGCACAAACAGCGACCACCATCCTGGACCGCAACGCTCCCTGTCCCAATTCAGCGATTCTTTGCATTCTTGAGTACATAATCGAAGCCTTACTGCACAATCCCTCCAAGTGCACTTCACAGAAGACCGTAGGGCGCAGTGCAGTGGGATTGGCCCTGGCTGCCATAGACAGTTCACTTTATAAAGCTCATATGATTTAGTCATCATGTAATATCGATTGCTTTAACTGAAAACACTGAGAGCAAACAGATGAACAGAAACTGGAGCCACAAAACGTCGTAGTTCTGGAACATTATTAAAGCTTTATCACATTAAGAAAGGAGGAGTTGTTTTTCTTTATTCTGTACAAATGTGCTTCATTCAGGGTGATTTATGTATCGAGCAAGAACTCAGTTTTATAACTCCAACCTCTTTAAGTGAATAATAATGGAGATACACTAAGATGTAAAAGCAGTTGTGCAGTTTAAGCAATATTTCTCTTTTCCCCAGCACTTTTTGTGGCATTGCTGCTGCTGCATGGGGTGAGTCATGGATGAACAGTCCTGCTCTGTAAATTAAATATAACTAGCTGCCTGTAAAACTGGGTGAGCAAAGTGAGGAGCAGGAAAGCTCGATGGCAGGATGGACAACCGGCGAGGAATTAGGACATCGGGTCTGGTGAGTGAAGAACAATGGAGGAATAGGACAGTCGATCAGTTAAGGAAGCAGCTGATGGGGAAATAGGTGGTGCTCCAGACAGGGGTGGGGGGGTGGGGTGGGGGTGGGGGGGGGCAGGAAGGCTTGTTCTTCAGAGGAGATGCAGCTAATAAAAGGAAGAGAGGAAATAACTGATCTGCAGATACAGACCAGGTTCACTTTGTATTATTGGTGACATCTAGTGGTTGTAGCATAGTCCGAAGCGAGCTGCTGTGTGTGTGCGTGTGTGTGTGTGTTTTCCACCACTGAATGGATTTTAATTCTCTAGGGTAGAAAAATCAACGTTGGGAAGATAAGAGTCATTCCAAACACATGCAGATGATCATCCATGATTTAGCATTAATGAGGTAAATAATGAGTAACATTAGTTTCAAGATTACTCCAAAAATTGCTAAAAGTCAATTTATTTATTATATTTATTATAAGTACCAGATTATCTTAGTATGAAACTCTGACATAAAAGTCAATAAGCAACACACATTCAAGGGGTTAAAGAATGTTAGATCTTTAATCTAATTCTGTATTTAATGTAAACAATATGACAATATATGATCATATAAATGACTTATTACTTTATTTTTTTCTTCTTATATTGTTCAGAGCTTGGCACATTTCCCAGCTGTCACCGGGTGAGAGTCCCGGCTCTCCAGTTCATCACAGGCTGAACCCATGTCACATTTAAAACCCTGTCCGAATTTAAAGTGCATGCTTGCTCCTGGAAAACATGCTCCAGATGAGAAAAACAGGAGCTATCCTGCTGTTAGACTGATAATCATAACCAGCCTACAGCTAATGTTGAAATTATTTAGTATGAATATTTTTTCTCATTTGTGTTTTGACGACTGCAATGCCTTTTTAAAATATTCTGCAGGGACATGTTTACCCCAGTGTTGCATCACCTCCTTTGAACAACTCTAGCATTTGAGAACACTGCAGAGCAAATTGGTTTGGGTTTTTAAAAGCAAGTTTTCCACATCTTTGATGTGACGGAGATATATCTTGGTGTTTAAAATCAGCAGGGTGCTGATGTGACATTGTAGGGTTTGAATTCAGAGGTGAGTGCAGGTCTCTTTATCCTACAGCTGTTTAAACCCATAGCTAGGCCTATGCCCTCAAGCAGAGACGTCACTATTAACGGTCTTCCCTCTTTATGCAACACGACTTAAAGATGATTTTATTTAAAAAGGCCCTCTGACCATTTCTTTCCTTTGGATGTTTGCATTATGCAACAAAGCCAGTTGATGAGTCGTTCTAGTTCAAAGGTAGCACAGCTCAGGCTGGATCAGAGGACACTGTAGAGCAAAAGGTGCAACATGGGCCCTAAGAAATTCTGGTTTGGCCAACTTGATTCTCACTGCAGGGCAACAATCATTTAATAATG